GACTATGCATTAGACTAGATCATTGCAATGCTTCTTGATGTGATGAACATGCGCAGAGTTGGAGGGAGAGAACGAAATGGAATTTTATATATTTTCTTCTCTATAAATAAATAAAAGAGTTAAAAATTAAAAAAAGTGACATTTAGAAAATAAGAAATGTCACAATCAGAGTCGATAGTGGCGATTGAAATTCTACAAACAAAATTAAGAACAAATTCCAGCATACAACAATGTCCTCTCGGCTCTCACATACATAAATCTTTGTTTTGACCCCGCGAAAACATCATTAAAGAGGATTGAAATCCTAAATAAATGGAAAATGCAAAAACTAAGATGGTATGTACAATGGAGAGGTGATCCTTTTCTTGTGTGGAGATCTTGGCATGTGCATCTCATGTCTTTTATCTCCATAGTGGCCAATTCAAATGTTGTGACTCCATGATTTGGGCCTTTTTTCTATTGACTCCTTTAACTTGACTCTTGAATATTGCGTGGACCCAAACCCGTTTCAAATTTCGGAAGCCATATGTCTTGGTCTTGCCGTGAGAGTTGGTGCATAGTGCATACTATTAAAACAGTAACATCTTAAGGGTTTTTTTCTTCTGATAAATGAACTTTAGCGTGAAACAATTCTTCTTAACTAAATTCTGATATATATCAACATTGAATGGTTGTCCAAACATGTCAACTTTAGCGCAAATTTTATGTCCGTTTGAAACCGATATACTTAACCTATCCAATTTTGAATAGCCTACCTCAATCCGGTTATAGCAGTAGAACCGGTTTGATGCATTCTTCTTCCAACCGAGTAAAATCGTCCCTAGATTAAGCACACACGAATTAAAATCTACAAGCCATGATCTATGTCTAACGATAGACAATGCCAAACGCGGAATGATTTGAAAACTTAACTTGAGATTTGGTTAAAGGCAATAAATACAAATATTAAATTTCATTAGACTATCTATTGCTCTATTAGTCTTCGACTTCCTTTCCTAATAATATTGTTTCCATTTTTTGCTTTATTTTTTACCTTAAATGATTTTATTTTCGAAGCCTTTAATTTAATTGATATAGATTCTCTAATTTAATTTTCATCTTTTTTGAAAACCCCCTTCTCTTCGTCTCTAATACATAAATATATCCATTGATCATCTTCTAATCCTCCCCCCTCGTCCCAAGAAACTAAAAAAGAATGAAACAATCAGACTCAATTTATATGAAATTCTCCCTAGCTCCTGC